TTTTAAAATATCTCAAATTGTTCAACAATATTTATATTGAACCATACATACTTTACAGACCTAACCCGCAAAAAAACAAATAAGTAAGCCTGCACCCGAGCAAAAAACTGTTACTTTAACTACAAATCTAGAACGATCGCAACTCATGCACCCATGGTGATTCCGTAATTATCGTATCTAGTATAATCATATTTTTATAAAAGGAGTTATTTTTCTTGTAATTTTCCACCGTAGAAGTGTCCAAAGATTTTTGCGAGAAATATACAAAGCAAATGAATTGACGAGGAAGATAATGCAAGCAATTGATACAAAAGTGTTTTGGTTGAGTACTTTAGAAATATGATGGTAATATGTGAAGTTTTTAAGAAGAAAATGATGGAATATGTAAGGTCAACCACAATTTAGACGATTTACGAAATTGTACATTGCAATTCATAGGCATTGAAAATTAAGAGAGCATATTGTATAATTATAAGTGAAGGTACCATCGGATTTATTCCGACGTGTTAATTACTTTTTTTAATTCTTGGACATTTGGAACAAAGTAAAAAGTTCGGGTGTTGAACAATAACTGGTCTGTTTTTAGAAATTGTTTTTGAAAAAAAAATAAATTCAAAATAAAAAAATGTACTTGTATGCTACATTAAATTTTGTGTTATCCGACCAATCAATGTCCTAAATTCATATTAAATTGGAGTCTGGAATCTCATGAACCCATATGTAAAATTTCACCCTTTAAAAAGGGATCTGTGTGGGATGGGGATATTTCAGTGCCTATATTTGTCTATTCTTTGCATTTCGTTTTTTTTTTTTTTTTTTTTTTTTTTTGGCATGTTGTTGTCATTTTCTCTTCAACTTATGAGTTTTGAATGTTCCCTTGGTATCTTCCGCCTCTTTTTCTTAAAAAATAATATAAACTAAACTAAAAGATATTTGTGAAAAAGGAAGTTGTTTTGTAAACCAGTGTTAAACAAAATTTAGGTGTAGAGTAATTAACAACTGCATTCAATTTTGTCTGTAGAAAAGATGATAATGATCCGGGTGATAATTGTGAAATTTCCAGTGGTAAATATCACATGTTTACAAGAGAGAAAACAAGCAACTAATGTTTTACGAATATGAAGCCTATTTTGTACTAGGCCAGAACGCCGAGTCGCATTTTAACGTGCGAGTTCATTAATGAAATTAAGTTTGACTTTCCGCATCTTAATCCGCAATCCAGTTCCATTTACAACTTTACATATTGTATCTTCTACGTAGAATGTCCTAATGTTACCCGTGGGAAACGAGGCCAAATCTGAGGGACATAAGTAATGGTAGCCATCAAAACCTAAATGAGAAAATTTAAGTTGAAAACGAAATTGCCAAATAGGCAAAGTGCACATATTCGAATTATTCAAATCGTTGCAGAAATGACACAGAAGTCGTACGTTAATCAAACGAAAACAGGAATCTCAAAACCAGTTTTTTAATATCTATTTTATCAGAACACCGTTACTAAAAACTAAAGTTTGTGGGGTAATAATAACCCTTCCAATAGTAAATAACTAGTTAAGTAAGTAAGGTTTATAGCACAAATATACAGTAGAGATTGGATATTTGCTGATTCAAATATAATGCAACTAAAACAAGTAATTTAAGCAATATAATTCAAATTTTCTTAAAATCGGCATATTCTAATAACAAAGATAAGAAATACCCTTAGAATATCTCTCAATCTATTTTTACTTATAAGTAAGTAGTGGTGGTACAAAACTGATAATAATCAAAAACATTACAAAATAAATTATAAGCAGAATGAATGTTACCCGATAAAAGCTGAATGCACGATCACCACACGTTACACGGAAAACACACGGAATGATGAATGCACGCACGTTGAATTGACGATTAATGAACGGAACACGCACGCATAACGCACAATAAACACGCGTACAAGGGAAAGTTTGAATTTGTAGATGGTATGTACTGTAAATAATGCATATGTAAATGTTTTGTATGAAAGGTTTTTTTTTCAAGTCGGAGCTTTTTTCTGGTAAAAGGAAGATAACCATATTTTAGCTATTTTTCAATCGCTTATTACAAATGCATTATACGTTAAGTATAAAAAGACAGACGATACTAAAGGGCAACCAAATGTAGGCAGCAATAGTTTACCGATGTCGTTACTCTCATAAATCGATTTAGAAAATACTAATCGAGTTTACAAACAGAACCTAAGAGAATCGCATCAAATCTCATAAGAAACGAAACCGGGTGCGTCAACAAGGTAAATTTCTCTCCTGCTATGCAAGCATCGCCCAGTAGAGATTTCCAATAAAATGAAATACGTACTTAACTCGACGTACGGACCTAATGGGACTGGTTATTGCCAACATTGAACTTGATAAAATACGTCGCTCAAGTTTAAACAAAGTATTCAAAGACTCTTAAAATCATATTCTGGATTTTTCGCTTATATTAAATAATTTTAACATGGTGAAAAATTGGAGGAATCATGCATTTTGTCGTGGTTCTCTAGATTCCCGCCTTAATTTTCACTGACATAAGATCACGTATACACGTATCCCTTACCTATCGCACGATCGATTTGAGTTATCTTGTATGCGTATAGAGAAAACTCCCTATATAGGTTGTATGTTAAAAGGTGTGCTCGATTAAGGATTGTTCTGTGTAGTTTTGTTAAACGGGAATGCTATACGAGTCCAACTACAAAAGACATTTCCAGGCAAAATATTTTATATCCCTTATATTATAAGATTTCAGTAAAAAAAAAAAGTGTTTTGATCAGGACCCGTCTGTAACTGAATACTGAGAATTGAACTATTAACCAGCAGTTTCATTGAAATGTATGGATTTAATGCGCTCATGAAAATATATTATTATTTCATGATAAAATTCCACAATCTGGATTTTTCAAAGACAGGATCTTTGTGCCAGTGTGTGCCCAATCAAGAGTATGGTCGCCTAAACTACCCCCATTTGGGAAGTGAGTGGTTCGTTTAGCGTTGCTGGATGTACCCGAATTTATTCTATACAAGACCCTATTCAACAGTATAACACATGCTTAAAAAGGGTGGTCCGTTTGCTTGTCTTGGATGTATTAATACGCAGCCCCGCTCAGTCTGAATGGGGACGTTCAATCAAATATAGGGAAAGTGCAATCATTAGCTTTTCACGTTACAGAACAAATAAAACAGGGATACATAGGGGGGCTGTTACAAGACTAAATGTCTACCCCTTTTTAACATGCTATCATTTTCCAGTTGCGTTGAAATTCATAATGTTATCCTGGTCGACCCAGTCTACATATTATTGAATTGTTTTGTTTTTATTTGTCCTGAACATACATTTGTCACTTGATGTCATACAAGCAATCTATCAATCAATCAAACCTGTTTAAAATTCGTTTTTTTTGCATTTATAAACTCTGAAACCTATTTTGCGATTCTGATTTGCTATAAACCGTCAACTCCCTATTGACATTTCGGTCTTTTAACCAAGTTGAGGCTTTGACTGACAAGATTCAAATCGTTTGCCTCATTAGAGGACTAAATCCGGGTCAAACTCTAACTTGGTATATAATTTTAAAGGTTTTATATTTGGAATGCACAGACCGGAAAACATAATATTTCTTTGGTATCATAAGTTGGTCATAAAGCGAAAAGGATCGTCCTTCTTAACAATACTGCAATCAAATATTCCATGCATGTCCGTTTTTCATACGTATTTGCATAAGTTAAACGCCAAACATTTCACAAAAACAATTTCTGAGCAATGACGTTAAACGCATACATTTGTACAGACTCTTCCTAGAACACATGTATCATTATAATAAAGACAAGAATTAAAAAGGTAACTGATTAAATTTACGAAAGTGTAATCTTGTTTTTTCTTGCAGATGCAATCCTACTAAATTCCATTTGAAAATATTCTACGGAAAGATGAAAAATTATTGTGTACTAGGTGCATCAGTGATCTCAATATCTACCTCTGACAAATGTATCTTGAATGAATTATAGAAGTATGTTTAAAAAAGAAAGTCGTGTACACCTTTTACATTCCAGCGTGTTTGAAACTCCTGATTAAACCGTATAACTTATAAATCAAAACAAGAATATCATCTCGCTTCAGATTTCATTATTTTTATTTTTTCAAGCTCAATTTTGATTTAGTCGTTTTAAAAATTCACCCTTTGAGAAATAAATATATAGGTCAAGTGAAATGACGAAGCAATGATCGGTGCATTTGATTACCGGTTGCTGGATTCCCTCAAAAGTTGTTGTCAATAAAATTATCCAGAGTTAAATAACAAAATATATACAGAACTAAATAGCAGATTGGGATAATTTTTTAATTGCATCTTTTCCAACAAAGTATGTATATTCAACGAGCCGAATATCCATGCAGTCTTTGCTCCCCTCCGTCATCATAGGCGGATCCAGGGGGGGGGGCTGGGGGGCCCGGGCCCCCCCCCCCCTTTCGTGGGAAAAATTTGGTTGATTATATAGGGAATCACTGAAGCATGACTGGAGCGGGCCCCCCTTAGGTCAGTCAGCGGGCCCCCCTTATGAAAAGTTCCGCCACTGGTCATGCTTCAATGCAATAAGCCGAGATACGTTCCGATAGGTTGGTTATGTCTAGTAATGTCATTTTATTGGAAATCTCTATTATGCGAATTCAAGCTAAGTCTGTTGTCATAATCGGGAGAAGGACACAATCGGTAACATTATAGATCAGACGACTATTCTGGTATCAATAGATCAGACGACTATACTGGTATCAATCGGTAACATTATAGATCAGACGACTATACTGGTATCTAACGTTCAAGACCGCGAAAACAAATATGCATGTCGCTTGTGAGTTGATGCATAACATAACTTTCCAACCGTTGTAAAAAAGAAAGAACGCATGCATACGTCGAGAATAAAACGAATTCAATGTCTGACAGGTAATAAGAAACATCATTAGTTACACAAAAAAAAAAAAAAAACAACGAGAAGAGATAACTTCAACATTTTCTTTCGTCAAGATATATCTGTGCAATTGTGATTTTTATTTTAGTTCACTAAAGACGTATAATCATTTGATAAGATTGTTCTATATTGTCAGTAATTCCGATTACTTGCATTTTGGATAATTAAAAGCTGTACATGTGATAATGTGATAGGTTTATATTGTGCGTTAAATATAATGTCATGATAAAATAAGAAGATTAAACATGTGTATTGCATTGTCCTTAGTATTTGACAATTTTTAACAAACAGGTTTTAGAAACTCCAAAATAAAATGAAGATTTTAAATTATTTCAATATGTCATCACTATTAGGATAACTAAGGTAATTTTCACACCCATTTAACTACGGTATTTTCATACTCCAATTTATGCATTCAACTTGTTTGTTCGTCCAACAAATATTTTCATCACGTTTCCCTCTAGATTATTGAACATAATAATAATATGTAGCAGTGAAGCGGGTTTTTATTAATCTTTTGGACACATTCTTTTTGTTCCCGATACTTTTGATTTTCTATACTTACAGCGAACATCCCCGCGACCGACGTTATATGCTATATTTGTCTTGATAATTTAATGAAAGTTTTATGGTCACTATACGAGAAGTAAAATAAAAATAGAACTTTGCATATCACCATCGGTTCACATTGATTTCAAACTTCCTTTCAATATGGAATTTTCCCGATGATGATACTGTAACAACCAAAAATCATTTGTTGGGTTTATGATTCTTTACTTTACGTCCAGTGGCAAATATTCGATGTATAATCAGGACAAAAACAAATTAACAATACATTCAATTGGAAGATTCTGAAAATTAGGTAATACACGATGTAGAATAGTAGACTTGACTGGCAATTAAAAAAGGGTAAGTTTGGAAATCCTTGTCGCAATCCACTTACACAAAGCATCGACCTTCAACTTCCCTACCGCGACCAGGTTTGACTGCTTATCTTTTCATGCTGTACATTCAAATTGACGCATTTCCTACGCATAGATTTAACTGCCGGATTGTAAAAGCCCATAACTAGTCAACCGTATATTAGTAACATATCTTTGAGATTTAAAGAGCTGAATCAGAGCTAGAATATTTAAGAAGGTAATAGATACAAGTATATGCTCTTAAGATTGTTTACATATGTTGTTTTTTTTTCAGAAATGCACCTAACCTAATATGACTTCTTTGTTAACATGAGTGATACACCAGAATTTTGTCAATAAACCAGTCTTTTTTTACACCATCCTTTAATTCTCGGAAGTTCAAGTATGTTTTCTGTCGATGAAACAGTTCACATCACTAAGTCAAGGGCCGGGTCTTGGTTTTGAGGCTGTTTAAAATATGCATTATATCGGACCAAATTATCAGTACTATGGGAATGCAAATAATGATTCCACCAACAAGACCCATCAACATAGATGATGTGCGACGATCTGAAGCAGACCTTTTTGTGTTTTTATACGCTGATGTAGCTTTAACATCGATAGTTAAGTTTTGTTGAAGTTCATTCACATCTGATTTTAAGATATCAATAAGTTGGTCTTTAGTTGTATTGATTTCTTTCAAAAAATCCCATTTACCGCTCGTAAAACTACACGGGCACATACAATCAAGATTGTCTGCCTGTTTCGGAGATGTTGGTAAAGTTGTAGTTCCTTTTTGTGATATAATTATCGGTATTGATTCGTCAGCTGTAAAGATAAAATAGTACGTGCAGTATCCTATATAAAATAAAGAACTATTCTAGAACAGTACGTTTTGGAAAAGTTCTATGTAAGAACTATCCAGGTATACTAATTTGGACCCGATCAGGGAAAATATATTAGAAAGTCGTTCATGTTTCACATATAGTTGTACCTTTTTCCTAGTCGAATTTATGAGAGGTTAAAACTGATCCCAAATGTACCTTGCTTCCTGTAGTAATGAGCACATTTTGATCTTGTTTTCCATATTATGTACTATCCATTGTTTTTTCCCCTTCAATTAGTGGTCCTAAGTAATCTTGTTTGTAGCTGGGCTGTGCAAGTTTTTAATTCGATTTAAGGAGAGGTTCGTGTACAGGTACACGGTTTATATCTTACTAAATGTCGTACTTGTACAAAGTCAAGCTATCTGAACATTATATTGTTCGTTGTTTTTGTTAAAACGTATTTCACACATTTTTCTAAAGAATAAAATATGTCCACTGAACTAAAATGTATACATTACGTACTTTTAATGGATTTTTTTTCACTAAAAAAAAACCAATAATATCTTCTCTTATTCATGGAACTACTTGTATGTTAAAGAAGCTAAATATTGTTAATCAACAAGAAGACAGGTACATGTAAAAAAAATAAAAAAAATATAAGGAAAATTCAACACAAAGACAAAATGAGAATATAAAAAGGCTGCTGCGACAGAATAATATATATATTTGTACTGGCCTTTGCTTCTAGCTTTCAGATGCAACAGCCTTTTTTCATATTCTCATTTGGTCTTTGTTTTTAGTTTTTCCTTATAATTTTGTAACTCTTGTTGTCGATTAAGAATCTATATCAAAATAAGGAAATTTGGTATTAGTGTTAATGAAACAAGTATCCATAAGTACCAAACCAAAGATGTGAAAAGGTTACCATATCTGGATTCTTACTATACTGACTGTATTTGTTTAAGTTCACTATATGTCTTAATGCTATTATGCGTTAAGTGTTATTGTTTCTATTTCTTGCTTCTCGCTATTTGTATGATATGTTTTACATGAAGGGTCGTGCACCCCTGTCATTTGAAAATTTTTAAATAACTTGAAAATGGTGAAGGTCCGCACCTTAAACGATATTTTGTCTTGTTTCTCATATCAAGATCAGTTGAATGATATGTAGTTTGTCCCCTGGTGCCATCCCCATCCGTGCTATTTGAAAATGTTCATATGTCTTGGAGATGCTTGTGATACCCAAACCTCAACCATATATTTTCTTGTTTGTCGTGTCAAGATAAAGAGTACCCGGATGTATGTATGGCTAAGATCTAGATTAATCAAGTAAATTTCCGGTAGGAAAACCAAGCATAAAAATTGTAAAAGGTATTATTTAGTCACAATGCAAGATTTACAATTTTGCATTGCATGTATCATGATCAATAAGTACAAAAATATACATTTAAATATGTCAATACCTACTAATATTATACACAGCCAATCTAAAGTGACCCCCACAAATGTCACCTGACATTGTAGGACATGGCATGTTACAATCGATGCTTGATTGAATTCTTTGATTAACAATGCTTTTACCACAGACACATGTAAGTGGGACCTGCAAATATATAAGAAAGGAGAAAATAAAATAGAAGTCACTCTACACTAATCTTATATTTTAACATTTATAAGTAAGATAAATCGGAAGAAATCCAGAAACAACACTTAGTCTATAAAAAAGTCAGAACCAACTTGTTAAGTGACAATAGATACTAATATAATTGACTAGCTAAGTAATATCTATGTCTCGTCAGATAAGTTAAATCAAAAGCTTATAAAACAGGACTAATTATTTTTGTTCAATCCTTTATTCTTGACATTCGTATATAGTAATGTTCCCTTTATAAATTGACTACTATATTTGATGTTTTGCAATGAGTGTTTACTTGTCTACAATTTATTTCAGATACAATGACACTGGAACCAGTAATAAGTAAACAAATTACTAACAACATTTCAAATAAATAAGTGGGCTAGAAAATTAACTAGTAGCTGACAATTTAACCGTTTCTTTATGCTGTATTAATCAATGTATATCTGAGGTATATGTAACTGTTTACTAAGACAGAACATTCAGTCATTCAGTATACTAAATTAAATAACACATATCTAAGAGGGTGATAGAGCAGATTGTTACCCTTCAGTTGACAATGTTTTCTCGGGTTAACAATCTACTCTATTACCCTCTTAGCTATGTGTTATTTATATATTGCACAACAGACTCGATTTATCAATACAAGATTCATCGGTGGTGTTAGCTGAACAGTTGATTTACAGAAACAAAATCAATAACGAAGTTGAAGAGCATTGAAGATAAAAAAAAATAAATCTGGCTAAAGCTATCTTTGCTAGGAGGTATAAAAACTATACTGTTTCGAACAATTTTAGCATTGTATAAACAGTAAATGTATAGAAAAATAACGTATGAATGATGTGTCATGCCAGCACAAAAAACGCTAAATACTACGCTGGAAATAAATCGACCTCGGGTTTGGAACTATTTATCATGCAACTGTCAGGTAACAATTTTGATGGTGTTGACAAATTTTGAATACTTTTTCCAAAAAAAAATAAATAAAAGAGACATTCTTAACAAAACTCTTCATGTAATATCATGCATGTGATCTACGTATTGTTCAGATACAAATGAAGTGATTTTACTAAGCAATGTCCTTCGAAGCAAAATTTCTTTCATTTTCATTTTGTTTTTTCTTGAGCGGCAATATCTAACTTACAGCTGTTGCTGAATTTGCTAGCCTCCTAATTGACGAGTACATTTTGACCCTGCTTTACAAATTATATTTTTTATTTCCTTGTTCTTGATAGTGGTCATCCTATTAGTAACTGCACGGTGTCGTTTTTTTGTATGTTTTTTTTTCGACATATGGTCTGAATTGACACAGGGGGAGATTTTTTCGCACGTAAAACTTGTTTAATCCCACCATAGTTTGTGCCTGTACTAAGTAAGGCTACTTGAACCATGGATGTCCGTTGTTGTTTGTATGTCTGTTGGATTTTTTGGAGGATTCAGGTGTTGATGGCTGATGTGGTCTGTTGTACTGTGCGGTTTTTTTGTCATTCCTGTCATCACTTTTATGTATTATACACACTAGCTTTGCATTATCTTACCATCTGTGTACCAGCATATGTGTATCCTTTATTAGCACTGATGCATTGAAGGAAGCACTGTATTGTCGTTGGAACAGGTGGATAATAATCACTCAAAGTGTTATTATCGTCATTCCAATAGCAACCAATAAAAATGAAACCTGAAATAAGATTACTTTTAAAAAGAAATGATAATGAGAATAAAAAATTCATAAATAAATTAAAAAAACAAACAATGTGGTAATTAGTTTTTCAAGGGGTATTTTGGAAAAGAATATGCTGCCTGGTAAGAAATTAAAAAAATAAATTATCTGCCCAAGACAGAATGAACATGAATATTCTGCCACCCAAAATGCCCACATAAATGTGTAAAAATTCGAAAATAATTATGCCTGATTAGCAACAGACGAAAATGAATATCACTATGTACGTGTTTCTGCCTATTATTCCAAAAACTAGAATAGATAGAAGACCGAAAAAGAATAGCCAATTCAATCTTAGGGCAGCTTTGTCTGAGGGAGTTAGAACTTTGGATTATTTATAAACTGAGAATAAAATCAAAATAAGTTATAAATTATGTCAACACTGAAGCATTGACTACTGAGCTCATAATAACCTCGAGGACTAGCAGTCCATCAGCAGCGATTGCAACATAGTGCTATAGTAAATGAATATAACGCTTATTAAATTGCGTTCGTCAAGTGTGCTTTTCTAGATTTAACTTCATCAAGGACGCTCAAGCCAGCAAAATGAATACCAGAGATGATAAATATTTTTAACACGCTATGAACTTTATGGCCAAATTAGATCGAAAAAAAATACCAATTTCTTCTAATCTGCAGAATCTACCTTTATATTGTTATATTTATTTACGTCCGGGATATGACTATACTAAACTAAATAACTGAATGTTAAACAAACAACAATCAATTACTCCTGGTTGATGATTGAAGTACTTGTTTACATACTGTTCTAAATCGCTTATGTGGTTTACATAAGCATACTCTGATTATTTGTTAATTATTGTGTCAAAGTTTTAACAATGTAAATTCTTTTGTTTTTGTTGTTGATAAAATATCAACAGGATAGCGAAAATAAATCGTCTCGTCAGCGCTTTTTTATAAGACATTTGCGCTTTTCTAAATAGAAATTTGAGCTTCAATTTTTAGGACATTTGCGTTTTTCAAAAAGGGACACCTGCGCTTTTTCTACAGGACATTTGCGCTTTATCAACATAACAGTTTAGTGTTGGTGCTTTATGATTCCCACCTCATGTATCCGGGCTGGAAGAAATTTTTATAACCATTTTCCTATTTCGATTGTAGAATTTGTATTTCTTGGAGAGTTTTGATGACTCAAATATTTCGCCACCATGATTGTGTCACATAAAAACGAGAACACTTTATTGAATTAAAATAAATTTCTAATAACAACCATGACTCTTTCTTCTAAGTCAACATGAAAGAAAAAGGACAAAAAAACTTTTGAAATTCATGTGTCGGAAGCGCTTTTCTGGGTTTACCTTCACCGGGAATTATCATACATAAAGGAGTCGGTTTCTCAAAAAAAACTTACGACTAAGATTGGTCGTAAGTCATGAACAATTCAGTATACTTACGATCAATCTTAGTCGTAAGTTTTTGTGTCAAACTTACTCCAGGGATGTACATTTATGTAGAAACAGCCGCTCACTTGGTTTAAAAAATTTTTTTTTTTGATTTACAAAAATTGAAATTAGCTTAAATATACAATCATGATAAATTTCCTATGACTTTCAAGGCAATACAATGAACACACTAGGAATGTAGTTTTCGTTTTAAATCGAAGAATGGTACAATTATAAGTTGATTTTATTCGCGTTATGCTTACACCTCATCAAGAACTTATAGGTAACATCGCAAATGGCCTTTCGTGTTACAGGGGGAAAAGCGCAAACATCCTGTGCCCATTCTGTCTAAGATTTTTCTGAACATATGCTGTTCTTGTACTCTCTTGGATTCTTTAATTCAGAAATATATTGTATAATTCAGACAGCTTAAATTTTTATACCTTGAATACTATAACTGAATTTGGGTCTGATTTCACTCCAGATGATTAACTAAAGATTTCTTATATGTGAATCAAAATGCAATTATATCCAAACAACACAGTATTGAAAATTGAAAATTCAAAATGATCTAATAGTTGATGTAAAGAGATGATACTTTTACTCTCTTTAAGATAACCTATCAAACCCATCAAACATGACCACCGTTGAAATTTTGTTTTTACGTACAATTGGTTTATCTCCACCACATTTGTGTCTGTACCAACTATAGGGCAATCTTCACCATGTGTGTGTTGTTTGTCTTTGTTGTGTACTATCCTTTATTTTTTTTATTATTTCTGTTATCATTTTTGTGTATTATAAAACCAAAAACTTATTTCTAAATATAAGAACTCATAATTTTTCTGCGCCATATCCACTATTAATATGTTCATTTTCTGTAAATTAACTATTTATAAAACGTCGAATTGTTCGAAACAATAAGGTTTTTCTATCCTCCTCGCTCCGAAAGCCCTTACACTGTAAGCATATATTGCAATAGCCGGATTTGGCATATTTTTTAACTTCAAGTTGGTATTTGGTTTGATCTTCAGACTGATGAGCCTTGTATCGACGAAACGCGCGTCTGACCAAATTATAACTTATGAGTTTTTACAGAAATTGTATAAGTTTTTTTAATGTAAATAATACATGTATACGTTTCTATATAATTTAATTATATATAACCTAAAGATACAAAAAGTCCCTTTTCATTTTTGTTTTATTGCATGTGTCACCCTCGTGATTGCAAATAACATAAATTTCAAGTGATAAGTTAGTTTTTCATTAGTACAGTTGGCATCAAATCCTTGCGAGTATCAATTTCATAATTTAGATTTAATAAACGCCGAATTTTATAATCTCATTATGAGATCATTTTGGTGAATAAACAGGTTTTGTATTTAAAATTTATTAATCCAATATCCAATGATACAGGTTTTTTTCTTTCTTTAATAAAAATGTTAACTTAATATGACTTTTTTTATGAAAAGTTCAGTTCTCTGTTTCGTTTTCAGTAAGCCTTTTAGATATAATTGCCAGAAAACAAGCAACAACAAGATGTCACCTGTAAGCAACATAATAAAGGCACTGTTCTAAGTTATTCATGTATAATATTTGTTTATTTCGAGTATTTCATCAGATTTTGGACTGCTGCACATCAACAATCCGCCTTTTGACATTTTTACACTTCATGCAGATAATTTTCTGTACTGTTTTTGTTTTGACATTTTAAATAGATTTTAATTTATTTATTTAACCCGGGAAGGAAAAGAAAAATACGAATCCTTCATTCTCTATTGTAGTCAAATAAATATATTTTTAACGACCAATGTCCTTATCTTACCGATTTACACGTGTATCACGACGCCAAAATAATCTGATCAACCTTTGATTAAGTCTGGTCTGTTAAACTGGTGGTTGCTTTATTGTCAAAGAGTCTGTATTATGAATGTAACGGCAGCATGTTGGTAGACTAGAATAAATGAATAAAACACAACCGCTATATATCTGCTATTTTTTTTATTTCGCAAACAGATTACTTTAGACAGTGGTAATGGCACCATTCTCGGAAGTGGTAAATCTATCATTTGTAGAATTATTAAACATCAAGTGATCTCCTCAATAGCGACCGTTAAAACCACAACGCGATGCTCATTACCCTCAAAGGACTACAAAAAGTGCAATGGAATCTTGAATTCAATTGTATCGACATATTATGAAAGTTGTATTGCATTAACTCCTTATTAACGAGCATTGGACCAACTTGAAGGCTTGTAATCACCCAATAGGCATTGATTTCAATTATTGTATTGATCGAAATAGAATACTGTGTTTAATGTCAAACATTACGGAGACGTGATATATCATGGCTATCAATTATTTATATACAAACTTTAATCTAATAAATGAAATAAATGAAGTATAAAGCCTATGGTGGGTCCAAGTTTTGAGTATTTTGCCAATCAATGTTTATTTTTAATTTTATTGTATAAAAAGAAAAAGATTAAAAGTTTAACTTGAATTTTCGAATATTGAAAGTCGAATTTCTGGAAGGCTACTGTATTTTAAATCGATGAACGGAAAATGTCAACTAGTACGCATTTGTGTTTAGGGGCCAGTTTCCGGGTGCGGGATTTTCTCGCTGTGTTGAAGACCAATTGGTGGTCTTGGGCTGTTTTCTGCTCTTTGGTCGGGTTGTTGTCTCTTTGACACATTCCCCATTTCCATTCTCAATTTTATTATAGAGGCAATCAAAATAATGAGTATACGAAGGACAGAAAACACAATGACAAAAAGAAAAACAAAACTCTATGAAACACTTCACAGAAAACTAAAGATTTGGGATCACGAACCAAACAAAATCGCGGTGAACTCAGGAGCCCTGGAAAGGTATTTTCAGTTTCTGATTAGCTAGTGCTACCTCATGCTCAACCTGACCTTATACTTTTACTAAGGTTTTTTTTTTTTTTTGGGGGGGGGGGGGGGGGGAGGAGGGGGAGTATTCAATGTTTTTCAATCTTTAGATAACTTTTGTCTCTTTGATCGTCTTTTTTCTTTTGGCCATGGCGTTCTTTGTCTTTCTTCGAATTCGTCTTATTGTTTTTGATTGCCTATAGTATTTGGTTCCTTCTTACTTTTTTGAAAATTTAAACCGTAGTTACAGTCTATGTGATCTAAGCAGACTAAAATGGGGCTGCTTTTCAACCAACCAGTGCTCGTCGACTAGAATTCAGAGTGATTGCAGACTGTAACCTGATGAGTATGTACGTTAAATATCTTCCTCAATGAGAATTGCATAGTACTATTTAAAAAGTAATTATTGGCAGTCAATGATTTAGGTATAGAACCATTAATTCGGCCCAGTCAAAAAGAAAGTAATACATATTTTAAACAAAATAGTACCTACGCATAGCTGTCAATTAGTAAAATATTTGGGTAATTTTTGTATCAAATGAAAGCTTTTTGGATGTCATACCATTTTCTAAACACAGTCGTATATGTTCGTAACATAGTCCTGCTGGTCGGAAATGGTCCGGAGAGGTCGACCAAGCACTCCCGATAGTTAGGTCCATCTCGTAACATTCTGAAATTAGGATCTCGAGAAATGTTTCATAATATTGCAGTTTCTTGCCGATTGAGTACAGATGTTTTAAATAAAGTATGCTACTGATTTCCCAGCACATGACGCGTCTTTCTGGGATCATCACGTACACTCGAGGCAAAGAATTAGGAAAGACAAAATAAAATGACACGCACAGTTTTACAGATAACCTAAAAAAAAACCTATTATTTGAGATGTTTTAAAATTTGTATGGTTAGAGATTCATTGATTATTGACGTTTCTAATTTTTTCACCTGAAGACGTTTGTTATCGACTCGCCGCTTAACTCACAGAATAGAAGTTCAAACTTAAATGTTTACCACAATCATTATGAAATTTCTGATCTTATGGTAGATGTATTTGGTATTTTTGCTGAAAGAAATTTCCTACCCCTTTTCGAACCCTCCTTTCCGTGAATTTGCTTAGAACAAGTTACTAACCTTTTACAGAAAGAGGCAATCCTAATATTGATAACACAAATAAACATTTGGAGCTCGTCATTTCAACTGCTTTGTTCTTTGTGCATATTCAGTTTCAAATTCCATGTACAATTAAACAAATAGATTTTTAAAGAATCAGTAAGCTTAGGTTTCAAGTGGAACAGTATAAAACAGAACTTATCGATATTCTTTTATATTATACTGTTCATAAATCACAACTGCTGTTGACAGAGCAACCTAGTAATTTCAGAAATATGCTTCCAGCGATAGATCTTTTACGTGATCTGCTTGCACAAATTGTTTTAAAGTGCATTGTGATATGCTTTGTTATCAATCACGCATAGAATGTTGGATTTTAATGCATTGTTATTTAAACTTCAAAATGAGGAATATTATTCATAAAACTAGTTGTTAAATAATTGCAAACAAATTTCAGTAGAGATATTAATATAAAACTCTTTGGCTGTTAATTCTCAGAAATGTCCATTTTTATAATTGAAAATTCGAATAAAAGGTTGGTAAATACATCAAAATATTGAAAATGAGGTACTCTAGTACAGTCAACTCAGGGACATTTTAACTGCAGATATCAAAATGTATCTTTTGTAGCGTGAAGCTGTAATTTACCAAACGTTCATCTAAGATCCTTCACAATTCTTATTGATATAATATGCATGTCACATTTAACGAGAGAGGAACATGAAACATGAAATATTTTTCGATAGGAATCCTTCCAAGAGGAAAAATTTAATCACATAAGCCACACAGAAAACCGACAGCAAATTATCAGTCGCCAATCAAAGGAAATATTAAGTTATGTGTGTTCAGGAAAAAACAAATATAACTGAAGACACTATCAACATAACCAGATAAACGAATAAACTTCAGAAAATTATACACCTTTTATCACCTGATTTGTAAAAATCCCACCACAAACATGACTGTAATACAAGACCAATATTACTGCCAACCTGTATAATAAATTGAACATAATTTAAAAAATACATATACCGCTCAGATATACAAAATGCATCTGTACAATCTCCAAGCCACTGCCATCTTGTCCTCGAAACGGCCAACGAGGAAAGGTACCTCTCAGTACCGAAATCATGTCATCAGAAACACCCAACAAGGAAAGGCACCTCTTACTACCGAATTCGTGTCTTCGGAAACACCCAACGAGGAATTGCACCTCTAATTACCGAATTCATGTCCTTAGAAACACCCAATGAGGAAAGGCACATCTCACTACCGAATTCATGTCCTTAGAAACACCCAACGAGGAAAGGCACCTATCACTACCGAAGTGTACTTATATTTTTTATATACTGGATTAGTACAGAACTTAATTAGTAAAACGAGTGAGCTGGACAAACAGCAGACGATGGTACCCTTGGTTTCTCCACAGCTCGAGTTCGAATCTTGCTTGGGGAACGATATCGAAATTTAAATTGAAAATTTAATGCGACAAAAAATGAAAAATTCAATGACTATTGAATGGATTGAATTAATAATAATTAAAAAAAAGCGAGTCCGCTACTTTACATAGGACAACTGATAATCATACTGAATCAAACGAGTCCACTACTTTACATAAGACAACTAATACTGAATCAAACGAGTCCGCTACTTTACATAAGACAACTGATACTGAATCAAACGCGTCCGCTACTTTACATAGGACAACTGATACTGAATCAAACGAGTCCGCTACTTTACATAAGACAACTGATACTGAATCAAACGAGTCCACTACTTTACATAAGACAACTGATACTGAATCAAACGAGTCCGCTACTTTACATAGGACAACTGATACTGAATCAAACGAGTCCGCTACTTTACATAAGACAACTGATACTGAATCAAACGAGTCCACTACTTTACATAAGACAACTGATACTGAATCAAAAGAGTCCGCTACTTTACATAGGACAACTGATACTGAATCAAACGAGTCCGCTACTTTACATAAGACAACTGATACTGAATCAAACGAGTCCACTACTTTACATAAGACAACTGATACTGAATCAAACGAGTCCGCTACTTTACATAGGACAACTGATACTGAATCAAACGAGTCCGCTACTTTACATAAGACAACTGATAATCATACTGAATCAAACGAGTCCGCTACTTTACATAGGACAACTGATAATCATACTGAACCAAACGAGTCCGCTACTTTACATAGGACAACTGATACTGAATCAGACGTAATAGATGTAATAGTTGTCATTTAAGAAAAAAATATTGTTCATTCATTAAATAAACTTCTTTTATTTTTCTCATTTTTGGTGTAACTTGGTGCACCTTTTGTACTGCCGTTTGTATGAACTGTATATTATATATCAATTTTCCTAACGATCTAAAGCATTTAGAATAATCGTTTAAGAGTAGATTAAAAAATCATTGTCGATGAAGATGGTCACGCATAATGTATTCTCCTACTTCTTCCCAGTCTGTTAAATCAAATACCATTTTTATTTCAATCCGGATAGTGTTCGTATCTTTTCCTGAGTGAGTGATGTCTCAACTGGGAAGTAAGTTTTCCATCACCTATTACCGTCCTTCAAATTTTGTTTATTCTTTTTGTATCTTTATTGATGTGTTAATGTTGTGTATAATTTTATATTATGTTATATACATTTTTACTATGTTATTGCATATCCTTCTTGCTACATTTTTACGTGAGGCGTCACGGTAAGGGGAAGTTGCTAATTTAAAAACAAATGTTTGTTTACGTTGTGATTCCTTAAAAAATAAACTAAGGAAAATCGAGTTAACTCCCTTGTAACACGGAAATACGAGCTTGAAAAACTGTGAACGGATAGGCCATTTCAAAGAGGTTGGGCCAATTTTTCTTCTTGCAATAGCTCTGTTTCTTTCCTTATATCATTGTGGACAAGTCAGCCTTTGGATTTTCAAATGTTTTGGCCTCAAGCATCACTGAAGACATTGGTTGTCGTGATGCGCATCTGGTGCCTTTAAAAGTTATTTATTTCACACAAAAGCCAATTTAAAAAAAGTCCTTCAGATGTGATCAAAATTTACTGTTAGGGTATGACCATTTGATTTTTTTAGGTGGGCGTACTTGCAAAAGATGACAACGAATAAACCGTCAGAAAAAAAAAAATCACCCTGCCCAAAGGATAATTTTATGATATGCTTCCGTTTAATGGTTAAACTATTAAAATGTTCAGTAAATCTATATAGTGTTTTGATTATAAAATTTTGTTGATTTGCTATTCAAAAATTTGTTTGATGATTTGAGAAAGATGATGCGACATAATCCACTTCCATGAAACATTCCCAGCATTTTGTTATTTGCGAGTGTTTGTGCAATATAAGATATAACGTTAGGTGTCAGCCGATTGTGATATTAAATGTGCTTTTAACGAAATCCGATTTTAATATTATATTCAAGAAAGGATGCACGAACTTATAAAGCCTTTGTCGTGGTTGTTAGGGAAATGGCGAGGTGAAGTTGGCAAAGGCAAATATCCAACCATTACAGACTTTACCTATGTAGAAGAATTGGAATTCGTGCATGTTGGGCAGCCTAATATTCAGTTTTCGTAAGTTATCTGAATAAATCCCGTTTATAGGATTATATCCATTTAAGGGAGTTTAATGATGTACAAATTACAACAAATAGGTATTCACATACGAATTAAAGCCGCAGCAATTGACCCATGCACTTACTCATCAGGGAATGATTGTAGTACATGTTTTAAGTAACTCGTGGTAACGAATCGTTATAAATCATTTACTAGTTATACATAGATGACGTTCATTTAAATCTAAAACGTCGCTATATGTTTACTTTTCTGGACTTTGAACAGCTGTGACTTAAAACGAGTAAATTTGAAATATTCGAATTTTATTTTGTTTTAATCAGATATCCATCAGTATGATTATGATGTAAAATGAATCATGTAAATCTATTATGTGATCATTTGTTTAAAGTCCCATCCTAATTTGTAGGTGATCATTTGTTTAAAGTCCAATCCTACTTTATAGGTGTTAATTTGTTTAAAGTCCCATCCTACTTTATAGGTGATAATTTGTTTAAAGTCCCATCCTACTTTATAGGTGATCATTTGTTTAAAGTCCAATCCTTCTTTATAGGTGATCATTTATTTAAAGTCCCATCCTACTTTTTAAGTATGTACTTTGCATATTCAGTTTATTTGTAACAGCATAGAAATACATTTTTTGTAATTACATGTAGACCAAAAAAAGTCACGAGACGGTTCTGTTTTTTTTTTTTTCCATTGAAAACGTTACATTTGTATTTCATTATAGCCAAATACGTTTACTGTTCGTGGTTATTTTTCTTTTAAGGGCATATTCTTGGCATCCAGAGACAAACAAACCATTGCACAGGGAGGTTGGTTTCATTCGTCGCAAACCAGACTCTGATAAAATAGCCTTCATTATTGCGCACAATCTTGGTAAGTCTGAACAATATTAGTCCGATTTTTACCGATTGTATATATATTGTCATTTAAATGCCGACAACTCAGTGCAATATTTTGCACTGTGGGTGGTATGTGTATGAATTGTTGAACTTGCCTTTTCACATATAAAACACGGAGAAAAGATGTATGCAAAAACACACAGCGGAATGGTATAAAATAATCGTTTCTTCCCCAACGCGACTCAAAAGGGATCATCTACAACGATGAGAAATCATCATACAATCCTATCAGCTGTTTGAAAAAAATACAATGGATGCTTGTAAAAAAAAAAAAGAATAAATTTTGTTATCAAATACCAAGATGGCAAGAAAATTTGTCGCAGAGAAAAATGTAATGAAAATTAAGTGTAATCATGTGTTCTTTGTGAAAAAAAAACATACGTTTTTGTAAAAATTATTCGACTAACATGAAGTTCACGAGCTATCTGAAACGCGTCATACAACTTGTTAAATAAACGTTTCAGGTCTTGTTCAGAGGCAGTTCAGGGAGACCCTGCCTAAACGTATTCAAATGACACAAATATAGTCGCAAATAAGTTAAAGATAAGATAAGATAAGAATACAAATATGTAACATTTACAAACAATATTAAAATGTTAGACGACATGCCTCCCCTTTAAATTAGCATAAAATGATTATATTTAGAAGAAATGCTGCTTAACTCTATTTTATTAATTCATATTTTAGATTATAGTTACAATATTATTGTTTCTGTAATTATACATCTCATTTATGCCATTAACAATAATTTATCAAAATGTCATATTCTTTAAAAGAGAAAATTAAATTAAATCCCCCCCCCCATTACTCATTGAAATAAAACTAGGAACAATATCATAAATGTCATTAAACATTTTCATTCTAGAGTAATTGAGTTGTGTACACATTAATGCAAAATTGAATTCATCTTCCACCTCTATATTACATAAGGGGCACAATCTTTTTCTAAAGCTGTTTTATTATACCTATATACCACGTTCAATAGCTAGCGTGCTGTTACTTATTCTTATTTTGGCATAGTTTTTAATGTTGTCTTTCTGTTGTGTCGTAGTTCTTCTCCTCTTATATTTGATGTGTTTCCCTCAGTTTTAGTTTGTAACCCGGATTTGTTTTTTTCTCAATCGATTTATGAATTTCGAACAGTGGTATACTACTGTTGCCTTTATTTAATACCATTTTTATATGAATTTAATAAAAGACGTTTTTCAAGTTCATACTTTACTTTAAATTTTCTACAAGTTCTTAACTTAATATTTCCATTTATTGAATTGTCATCATTAAAAGGCTATTTTCCCAAAATATATTGTAACTTTCCTTAAGTTTCTTTGCTAAAGCTGAAAGTAATCGGTTTTTTAGAAAAAGTACATTGATTTTCCCAAACATGAGAAAAACTTAATTTGGAGAGTAAAATTTTAATTTTTGAAACAAATCCATCACGTAATTGCTGGTTAACTTTATAAACTTTATAAAGTAAAGACTCCTTTGAGTTTAAAAAATGCAGCCAGAATCCTGTAGAAGACTTGAGAGCCTGAATACCAATAGAGAACATTCCTAATACAGCTACTACAGCTGTATTTACTGCCATAGAGTTAACTCCAAGTAGACTCTTGATTTGAAGTTTTCCTGATTCCATTGACAAATATTGTGACTCAAGTGTTTTGTTGTTGTTTACAATATTAAGTGACCATATTTCACTACAATAAAACATAATTGGACCAACACAAGGATCAAAAAGTTTCATATGAGAAAAAAATGTCTGTTTAATCAGAATAAAGCATTTTCTTTATACAAAACAATGCCTTTGAAGAATTCATACATTTTAGTTTCTGAGAAAGTACGACGGAAATGTGAGATGGGCAGAATATAAGCTTGGTTATACTATTTTAATTTCCTAATTAGGGCCCCGCCGAATGGCGGACGCCCTATAGTGATCAGTCTGTCCGTCCGTCCGTCCGTCCGTCCGTCCGTCCGTCTGTCAGTCCGTCCGTAACAAATCGTGTCCGCTCTATATCTAGAGAACCGTTATGATTTCAAAGTTTATACTTGACATGTATATTAACCAACACCAGAGAGTGTGTCATAATGTATGTACAACTTCCTTAGTCAAAGGTCAAGGTCAAAAACTTTGGTTTTAGTTGACAACTCCATGTCCTATGGTAAAGATCGTGTCCGCTCTATATCTTGAGAACCGTTATGATTTCAAAGTTTATACTTGATATGTATATAAACCAACACCAGAGAGTGTGTCATAATTTATGTACAACTTCCTAGGTCAAAGGTCAAGGTCAAAAACTTTGGTTTCATTTGACAACCCCATGTCAAATGATAAAGATACAAATTTTTTACCACACATTATTCACAGCGGGGCCCACAGAGATGGCTCCCATCTCAATGATATCTAGTTATATTTATCTGTATGACACAACTTATATTTCACCTTCGACCTTATGACTTCTAACTTCTAAGACTATTCATTTAAGTGAGTGTTCCTTTTATTTAGTTTTATTTTTTTCTCCGTTCGTTTATGACAATTCGAAATGGCGGACGAAGGATTTTCAAGAAAGGGGAGGGAGCTGAGGGCCCATCTAAAAAAATGGCCGGAACGATTTGGGCTAACTGAATACAACTGTTTGATTTGACTCCGATTTTGGTGACGAGAATAGCACAAATGTGAACGGAAATTGTTATATATATATATATATATATATATATATAGTGACGACAGATGGTGGAGAAATGCAGTAAAATTGGTACGGTTAATGTTATTTTATTGCACAGTTTTTATATGCCCTGTTTTAATACACAGATTAACATGCCTTATTTTAATCCATTCAGTCGTTCTGAGTTTAGAGCTCCGCCTAATTTATCTGACCGAATGCATTGATTCTATCGATTGTTGAACATCAAAATATCAAGTCTTCAAACAACTGTTAGTTTCTCTTTAACTTCAGGAGATCCTTTTTTTTTTAGGTGTATGTGAAATAGAAGAAGGGACATTCACAGAGTCTGAAATAAAAGTTGAATCTCAAAGTCTCGGTCGATTAACTTTTGGTTCTGACCCTGCAACAAAAAAGGTATGAAATACATTTTATGTCTGTAACAATCATGCATTCTATGGGAGTAGAATCTAGAGCAATCAGAGTAGATTCATTACGGGTGACAAAATCGGACATACATTTACATGTACCTAACGTCGTAGTCTTGAATAACATTAAATTGATATCGAGTCTTTACATTCCCCATTTCCATTTCCATTCTCAATTTATTGATCGTTGATTTTGCAACGAACACTATAATATATATTAGTTTATATAAATATAAGGGGATGTAGTAGGATTGCCAATGAGACAACTATCCACCCGAGTTCAAATGACGTGACGTGGACTATGATCATTTTGCAGAATACTTATATGTAAAATTGTCAGATTTTTATCATTGCATAATGTCAAATAACAGAAAGAATCCACACTACTATTTCTCCTACAGTTACGTATCTGCGTAAATATGAATAATAAATTTATATAAATATATTATAGTTAGAACTCAAGAGAACTACTGAAATTAATTCATGTTTTTTTTTCTCTCAGAAAATGAATACTTAGCATTCATGAGTATATTTCAATATACATCTTTACTGTTGATGAAACAAAAGTGTATTTGCTCTGAACTCAATATATATCATATGCTGAAAGCAAAATATTTTCCCAACATATATCTTATTGTTTTTTATAAGGTGACAGGAACAAGTTTTTGTTAAATCGTCACACTTGTGTTGGTACCCTAAAACTGGTATCTACTGCTACCTTGCTACCTTGTGGTTTTCATGATTGATAAAGCTGCTCAATTGATATTTGTATCACAAAACTTCCTGTATCATTTAACATGTAAAACCTAACATACCAAAAACGTTACATTAAAAAAGTTCCATATCTTATGCTGTAAAAAAAGTCTACGATATTGACCTCTATGTAGTAATCCCTCTAGATCTAAAAGCAATAAAAAAAACTCCCAGTGGTCGATAAATGTGGCCTGTACCTTATACCTAATGAGGAAGCAAATCTTGTAATAATTATTGCATATACGATTTATTTTTCTATTTTTATATATATGTTTTTGTATTTATATTGTCCTTATTTGTCTTCAAAAGTGATACCCCCTAATCACCCTTATTCGTCAGTGACTTCTCATGACATGTTATTATAAAGAATCAGATGTTTAAAAGTATTTCAAGAAAAAACTTCACAAATACATGCATGTCACTTGAAGTAATCAATTTCATAAACGGAAATCGACTGTTAGTAATATTCTTCCCTTATTTAGGCATACATATGTGTCTTTAGATTGTTCTGTGTTATACATGAAGTTAATTGCAGGAAACGCATGGCATATGCATTACTATGAAATTATTTTAAGTACCAATTTGTTTCAAGAAAAGACTTTTTTTCATTTATAAATTTTGTGTCATGGTATGTTTATGGCAATTTTTCATTTAACTGTTTTATTTTACTTTAACATTGTCAGGTGTGCAGACACTTCAAAAGAGATGGTGATACTTTAGAACAAATACTTTATATGGAAACAGTTAACACACCAATGACTGAACATCTAAGAATAACATACAAAAAGGTTTAAGTCACATGACTTACCCATCTTCAATCAGGTTGATATGTTGTTGATTCCATTGCATTTAATTTGCGTATTTGTTTTTTGTTGTTTGTATGTTTAATATCTTAATATTCAATATTAAAAAAATAAAATATATCATTCGCCTGTGAGCGGAGTCTGGTATTAAGCTCCAAATATTAATGACAATTATCATGGTTATTAGTAAACAGGAACCGTTTGCTGAGAAACAAGCGTGTCAGTTTTTCCCATTAGTATAATAAATATGCGGTAAATAATTGCCTGACAATTAAATAACATTTTGATTACTGGATTTGAATATAGAAAATAAGGATTTTAACCAAATAAAGTTTGGTGGAGTCAACATACTTAATAAAATTGAGAATGGAAATGTGTCAAAGAGACAACGACCAGATCAAAGAACGAAAACAGCCCAAGGCCACCAATGGATCTTTAACACAGCGAGAAAATCCCTCACCCGGAGACGGGCTTCAGCTGGTCCCTAAACAATAATGTATACTAGTTCAGTGGAAAATGGACATCACACTAAACTCCGAATGATTAAAGATATAAACCCATTACTGCTTTATTAACCATTATGGCATCAGAAAGTACACATTTGTTTTAAAAGGCTTAGCACACTCCTCAATTATATGCTAAATTGTATTTGCCAAAATTTTTCAAGGGCTAAGAAAGGCATTTCTGCATGTAAATGATCTCTATCAATTTAAAATAAGGAACTGTGGTATGATTGCCAATGAGCTTTCCACCAAAGATCAAGTTACGTTGAAGTTAGCAACTATGGGTCACCCATATGGATAGCAAGCTATAAAAGACCCCGACATGACAAATGTAAACAATGCAAACAAGAAAACTAACGTTCTGATTTATGTAAAAAATCAATACACAAAAAAAAAAAAAAAAAATGATACACAACATTGAACAACAAACGACACCCACTGCATTACAGGTTCCTGACTTGGGACAGACAGAAACATAAAGCGGCGGGATTAAACCTGTTTTCGAGCGCCCAACCCTCCCACATAACCTGGGACAGTGGAGTAACAGCACAACATAAGAACATTTTTAACAAATGACAGCTATATATAAATTAAAATTACACAAGTACATGTATCGGAGTTTCTTGTTAAAATCTTTTTATAACGGACCACTGGAGGAAAATAATTATTCTTACATCTTAAAATCTAAAGTTACGCATAGCCGCTTTCTCCGAGTGAAAATATGTTATTCATTTGTTATGCTTTGAATTACAATTTTAAAACACCATCCTTATACATTCATTTTGTTAAAGAATACATTAATTCGGTCAGCTGCATTTCTAAATCAAACTTGATACAAGAATGGTCGTGTGTCAGAACACGATAAAACACTTGTGAATGTTCCGGTTGATTAGAAAACACTTGAACCAATTAACTTATACAATAAGATGAATAGTACGTTGTTATTCAAGATTGTGTGTTATGGGGAAGCACTTATATCTATCCTATTTTAGCGGTTTTCTATGATGTCAAAACGAGCACAATATTGTTTTGATTTATAGATTGTATGAATTTAATAGTAACAGACGTAGTACCTAGTAAGACCTAGTAATGGACTTCTGATAGTCATAATAACAACTGTTAAAACTATTCGGCTTAACTTTGCGTTCCTGCTAAATTTAAATACAGAAATCGCTTTGAAAGAAACCTAACTTATAATTATACAACTGTGTTGTAAAAATCTAGGACAGTCGCAATGAAATAACATTGGACAGACAAAATATCTACTGCATGTTCCACATTTCTTGTAAACGGTGGAATTATATATACCAAATATTTTCAACAAGCATATGACACCAATGGTTAACCTAGATTTAGAAAGTTAGATTCATGTTGTTGGGCATTATCTTCAGAGATAAATACTTGTCACAACACGTTCCGTTTCCATTTTGGTTGCAGCTGACGTGTTTAGAAAATCGTTGTTTGGCGTAATTAAAATAGTTGATTATAATTTGGTGTTTGGTTCGTTTGTGTGTTTCGTTTTTGGTAAATCCATTCCATCAGAGATAAATAACAGTGTTTTACAATCCAACAAACTTATTCCAATTTCTGATGACAACGGTTCCATATACCGAGAAGTTATTGTAAATCAATACATGAGACTGGATACATGAACGTTCATATACTTTATTTTTCCATCCAACATATATACAGTCAGTTCATAAAACATATTTACAAAACAGTAATCATGGCAACCTACATTAACCCGCCGCTGCTCGCAGATCGGGAGCGGAGCGAACCGGTGCGTCACATGGTTCTCTCTTTTTTTCTCTGCCACCTTTTCGTTTCGAAATTAACCTTTATAAAACATGATCATAGAAACGTTTTGATCAATGAAAATAGAAAAAGGTACTAATAAACAAATAGTTTCCAAACAATGAAATATATAAAATTTAAAGCATTTTAAATTAAGACTTAGTGTTAATTGACATTATTCACTCTATATATATACAGTTTGGGTGTTGACAAATAAATAACATTGATGACCATTGTTGTCAAAAAGTATTCTCACGACATAATCCCAATCTTAATCCATAAATATTTCCTAGTAACGCCAACACGACTAATAAATGTCTTTTATAAAATTATTTGAAAATAGTTCAAAATCTTGTTTCCCGAACAAAATGCATTTATTGCTTAATTAAAATATTAAAACTTAATTACTCATAAGAAATAATGACTTTTGATACCAAATACGATGTAGAAAGAAGAAAATGCTAAAATTCACAATTTCACACATTTTTACAACATGACACAGCGATCACTTATGCACCAGTTAGGCTGTTAGTTTATATATTCGTTTTTCCAGTGTGTGTTTGTGTAAAACTGATAGTCGAAATTCTGTTTCAAAATATATTTTATGTTTTTCCCGTCGTGTATATGCATGAAATATTTGCCACTGAAACTACACCAACAACCAATCAACCATGTAAGCATCCAATCCAATTAATCAATCGATAAATTTATATCTGAAAATGACGCCAGTTTTCCACATGATAATCTTGTTTATCTAAATATAGTTCAATAGTCGAAGTGAAATCATATAAAATTTAATATTAAAGGTTGTATTCAAACTGTGATGCTGGTTTCAATGGCGATTAAACCATAAGTCTCATGTTATGCAGTTTGCTATACACGTGTAATAGCACAATATGATTTGTGAGGAATTTGACATTGCAGTCTCTGTAATAATTATTTTATTCCCATTATCAATCAATCAGTTAGTATGAGAATCTTCGCAGGACATCAATCTGCGAAATTATTCTGTGTCGATATGCTTATTAGCGTCACTGTTTTAAAACTTTAACATCTGTTACAAATCTTAAGGTCAAATTTGTTAAAGGTTCCTGTCTGGTGAATGTTATCTTAGTGTAGTGTTAGCAGACTGTAGATTCAATAATAACTTTGTCACGGAACCATTGATACTAACAATACGGTGTAAATGTAATATATTTATTATGAATATTACACTAAATAAAATGAAAACGTATTTTCTGTACTAAATATATAAAACATATTAAATTGTTTGGCCTTGGGAAATCACTCAACTATCTGACGAATAATTTTGCTCCAGGACTTTGTCAGGAAGCGATTCTTTCGTGGAAAGTACACCAGCTGACAAGCCACTACACTCAACTTGAACAACACAACTGACAAAAGAATGACAAAGCGAAGCTTCATCTGACGGCCCATGCGTGGCAGTGGACCAGCCCCCGCGTGACGGTGGGCTACAATGTTTTAAGGTGTTGAGTTGAGGTTGGAGATGTTAAATGAAAAATGCTTGGAAAATGAATGAAAATTATGAATGATAAGTGAAATATTTGAAAAGGTGCCAAGAAACTCTGACGAAATAGTGATGAGAAATCAGATGAGTCTGAGTGACCCCAAGTATTTAGAATGAGGAATCCCCCGGGATCACCTTCAATAAGTCAACGAATAACACAATAATAAGGTAAACAAAAGAAACAAAATATACATATAAAGCAACCATGCAGTTCTCCTGTCAATAAAATCGAAGTTGACTATAATATAATCAATGATAAATAGATTCAGCAAGCTGCTGTTGTGCATGTTTTATAGAGGTTGGTTGAGTGCGAATATAACGCACATAGCAATCTGAAGACCAACGACCTAATGTTTTGATCATGTGATCCTCTATGTTAGCCTGACCAGCTGCGGTTCCAGCACCTATTCTAAATGAATGACCTGAAAAGTTTTTAGGATCATAACCGCATAACTCAAGAACATGTCTGACTTTTGTTATAAAGAATTCTCTTTCCATGGCTAAATTGCCAATTGATACAAAAAGAGGGTCAGTGTTTTGATAAGACGACATAAACGTTTTCCTGATCTCTAAATATCTTTTTAAAACACGATAAGGACAACTATGACTATTAATTTTGTGTAGCTGAATATCTATACCCTTACGGAATGGATCAGTTTTTGACTGTTTCAAGTGAAAGTTAGCAACATTGTCTGTGAATGAAATGTCTGATATACATAAATTAATTGCAGGTTCAAATTGTTCGGATTTGATAACAGTTATTTCTCCGCATCGGAGAAAGCCAAAGAAAGAAATCACGCTAGCTGTTTCTATCATGAGGTCAATGAACTTTGAAAAAACTCCCTTTCGTAATCTCTTTATAATTTGTTCAAGAATATCAAAAGTGATAGGTAGCCTTACTCTCTTGTTTTGATTTTGAGATCGTTTGACAGAATTTAAGATCAATGTAAGCCTAGGAAATGGTTTGCCGTTATATAGTTCTAAGGGATCACTACAATTTTCCTTCAAGTAGTTGTACCTGATTCCACAGAGATAAAGTTTAATGGTAGAATAATGAAGTTTCAGAACTGTTTGACAATGGGCAACAAAATATATGAGGATTTCTTCCGAAACTGGGGCCAAATTATTTGTAAATGTCACATTATTTAACAGTAAATATCTCTTAAAATGCATGAAACCAATATCATACACGTCCTTAGTCCTTTTAGATATAGATGTCGTCCATAGTTGTTCGACAGTTTGTTTTAACACCATATTACATCTGAGATTTTGGGACACGGTTCCGGAAAGGGGTCTGCATCTGGTGCCA